CTCGAATCAAACACGAACCAAACATGAACAAGCTAATGTTAAACAAACACAAACATGAACACTCACATACTCGGCTCGGCTCGGTTCATTTGCAGCCCTAGCTACCTCAACATAAGAATGCACTTACTAAAGCAAAAAAATAACCAAGTTTATTTACAACCACTCTTGGTTTCTAGCTTTTATGAGGAAATTTAAAAAAAAAATTCTAAGGCCAGCAGCAACAAGATTTGACACCGCTTACTTGACCTTAGAGAGCATATTAGATGCTAAACAACCTTTAGATGCTATGTTCACATCTACACAGTGGTTGAGTTGTGCTTGGGTGAATAAGGCTGAAGGAAAAGAGATTAGAAAGATTATTTTAAATGACAAATTTTGGTAAAATGTCTTATATGTCATTACAATCATTAGACCTTTAGTTTATGTTTTAAGGATGGTGAATGCTGAAAAAAAACCTGCAATGGGTTTCATCTACAATGTCATGGATGAAACCAAAGAGATGATTGCTGTTGACCTCGATTTTGCCCAGAACTGGGCTTGGAGAGTTGACTTGGTCAAATTGACCAAGCCAGACCTCGAAACCCCCTCCACTGGGTTCAGTGAGTCGAGTCGAGCCTGTCGAGCCCGAGCTTGGACCCTGAGTCAACCCGGTTGACCAAGTCAACCAGGGTTGACCAATTTGACCCATTAAGCCCTTTTAGAGCCTAAATCATATGCAACCTTTTTCTTGGCTCAATCCTTGGACTCCCTTGGCCTAATTGACTGATTTGACCAAGTCAAAAGTTGACTTGGTCAAATAAAGTCATTAATAGGTCATATCAACCTATTTAGAGCCTAATTAAGGGTCATTAATTGGAATTAAAGCCTCCTATGCATTTGAATTCAAAATCACGGCTTAATTAGACTAATTTCCCTCCTAAATAGCTAGTGATTCGATCTCAGCCGTTAAGATTAACCCCAAGGCTTTAAATACCAAAAATTAGGTCATTAGGGGGGATCTTTTTGCTCTTGTACGATCTAGAGACCATCTCAGGCTCTGAGATTTTGTGAGAGCGCTCCCACATCTCTTCCCCACTTTCCCAAGCCGAATCCCGACGACCCCAAGCCACCGGCGACGTCAACTCCGGCGAACCGAGGCCAAGGGACGTCCAGAGCTTCTCCCGTCCGATCGAAGCCGTTTCGGGGTTGGAGTTCAAGAGGAGATTTGTTCTAGAGGATCCCACGAGTCCAACAAGACCAAGATCTCCCGAATCCACCGAGTGGATTGAGGTAAATCTCAAACCCTAGTTAGAACACTTAGGGTTAATTAGTGTCGTCATTAGCGTGTATTAATCCAAAATAAAACTTCCCCACTGTTGCTCTTCATGCCTTAATTTTTATATTTAATATGTATTTGATGTGTAACCTCATAAAATATGAATGGTTGGTTCTCCCATCCGGACTCCACACGCAATAATTTTTCCTTTTGAAGAACACCTTAATATAATATATTAGATTTTCCTACGAGAAATAACATTGTGGCCCTATTCCCTTCAATAAAGCCACTAGCAACTTTAGCAGCTAGACCCCACTGGGCTTAGCTCGGTTTCTGCGCGTGTTTGGTTGGGAATCCTTCAACTCATGTTTGATTCTCCTTTCATCCGGCGTGACCCCGTTAGTGGGGAGAAAATAACTGTGAGTCTTGCACACCTGTGGAGCTGGTTGCTGGTAGGCTCGCCGAGGGATTACTTACACTGCGAAGCCCATTCTAATGGAGGTGGCAGTGGATAAATACCTCCGTTCCAAAAAAAAAAAAAAACTTTAGCAGTTAGCACTGTTCTTTCTTGTGCAGGTCTCGATGATTTCCCTTTCAGTCTTTCACTAGCTAGCAGTCTGGCACCATCTTAAACCAACCTTTGCTGTATTTCCTACCATGATCTCACTGCCAAAGCAATTATATCATTCTTTAACATAGTAGGCCCGCACTTAACCTCTCTAAGTACTTTTAGATAAATAGTACTACTAATTATGAAGTTATTTTATCTGTTTTTTTAGAAAATGTCTTCTTATTAGGTTGATAGCTTCACTAATAAATTCTTCAATTTATATGTAGTGTTATTTATCCCATCTTCATAATTGCCAGTGTAGAGATGCCTAAGCATGTTAAAATTATTATCACTACTGTTATCTCCAATTTCCAAACGCTAGATTCTATAAAGGATTATAAATCTATACCACTTTGCACCTACAAAGTCATAGCAATTGGCCTTATACTTAAGCTGTAGAAGACTATACCCCCACATCATATCTCCTATTCATGGTGCTTTTTCCCCTAGCAGAATTTTGTACATGAAAATACTCTTCTTGCTACAAAGTTGGCGAAAGGCTTTTGCAAAACTCAAGAGCCTAAAAGACTTTCCTTACAATATTAATATACCAAAGCCACTTCTCAAACAAGCGTACTTTTTTTTCATATATATCGTGAATGGTTTCTCCTATCTTTTAAATCAAGCTTGCACCTAACTATAGCTAAATCTTCTACCCTTTCACCATCTGTTTGCAAAGACATTCTCATTTTTAGGTAGTCTTACGAATATATCAAATCCTCAGCTACCAATCTTTAATAAGATAAACTGCAAATCAGACCATGGTTAGATGGATGTATCTTTTTTCTTTCATCGAGTGACATCAACCTGTTTGCACTAATTACCTTATTTTGATGTAGTTTTACTCCTAGATACAAGCTTTTTTTTTATCACTAAAGCCATCTGCTTGAATAAGGTCTTCTTCATTTGACAAAGATTTTTCATATTTAGAAGCACCTCAGATGGTCTCTTGAAAGTTACCTTCCTTCCTAACATGTTCGATGACATGGGTATCAACTTTTTATTAATTCTGTTCACACATCAGCACTATTATTGGTCTCAAATTGGATAATAGGAGCATAAAAAATAGCTCTCTCTCTTGAAATTATTCTATGCGGATACTAAACCGTCTGGAGGCGAATCAGACGCACTACGTCACCTAGTACACACAACAAATGGGTGATATGGCACATTCTGATTCGACTACTGACGGGTTCCATATCCACCCAAAAAAATTTCACCTTTCTCTCTCTCTCTCCCCAAAATATTTAGAGACTCATTCTCATCCTGCACTGCACCCTCTCATTGATTACATTTACTTAATTCCTCACGCTATTTGTTATACAACCACCATGGCATTACGTACCAAGATGGCTTACTCCTTAGTCGCATACCATTACTTGGAAGCTACCTAGTCCATTTGGTCGTTAGTCATGATTTCCAACCTACTTGGGTTATCTTACTCTCTCTCTCTCTCTCTCTCTCTCTCTCTCTCTCTAATCTATTCTGTAATAGATCTCAACTGGGCTTAATTAATTGGTTAATAAGTTGTCAAAGTCTGTTGTTAACTGCCTTAATTTTTTTTCTGGAGATTGTGTGTTCTTCTAATTGAGGAGAAACCATTAATTGCAATCAATTAGATTATTAATATACACAATATAAAACACAGTTAGGAGTGTATATTAGCCAAACTTGAACGAGTTTGCTATGTTTCTGTTTTTTATTTTCCGAAATCAGTTCATATTTAAAAGTATTTTTGAATATCTTATTGGTTTTCTGCCATTTGGAGCGAGCATAAGCATAGCTTCTCTCATATATTGTTTTATACCACAAGATATCATTATTAAGGCCATGGAAGTGTCGTTCATAACAAAATTATATTAAAGCAAATTGTCCTCCCAGTGATTTTCTTATTAAAAATATCATCTTTGATCAGAGTATTTTAACTACTCTCTCTTAGCTTTTTGGGCTGGCTGTTGTGGTTGTTTTTTGGTCGCTATTGCACTCAATGCGATGCCGGATATTAGTGTTCTTCTTCTCTTTCTCTCATTTGTGTTTCAAGGGTTTTTTTTTCATAGTTTTTAAAGGGGTTGGAGAAGTTTATACTCATTAAAATAAATGGTGTTACAATGCTCATGCCAAATTGATCCAGGCCAAATAAATACTTTTAAATTGTTGATATACTAGTTATTCATTAATAGTGGCAAAGTCATTGTAAACTGTTTTGGTAATTGATAAGAAAATATATTATTAAACAAAAAATCTGTAAATTTAAAGCTTCATTTGGGACTGTATTAACTAAAAAATTATTTTAAGAAGCAATAAAAAAACTGTTTCAAACGAAGCTAAAATTGCCTCAGCTTTTATGAACTGCCACTATTCTTTCATATTAGTGGTCATTAAAATCGCCACAAAAACGCCAGATCATTGGCAGTATTAATCGTTATGAAAACTACTGCACTTTACTTCGTCCTACCGATTTCAACACTACTGTGCAATACTTTTGTGGCAAATACCAACTACAACGGACATGCAGCGGTTTAAAAACTATTGTTGCTACAAACTATTTGGCGAAAGTCAACATTATGTGCTGCAAAAGCTATCTTTTTTTGGTAAGGAAAATAAGCTCGAATGAATGAATCAAATGAAACTTTCTTAGTGAGCCCAACACAACTTGTTCATGAACAACATGCTTTTTTAGTTTTTAACAGCCTTATACACAATATCTTCATTGCCTATCAGAATGTATTCTCACGCTATTATTTACTTCAGTATTTCATTTCCGATTTATTCATCCGATCGATCCAGCCGTCAACGGTTGGCGCACCTCCTGACCAAAATCAAAACCCTTCATACGAAAGAGAGAGAAAGAAAGAAAGAAAGAGAGAGATGCAGATCCCGTTTGTTGAAGGTTAGGTTAGCAAAACCAACACCCTTAACCCAGTCATTCATGGCGTGCCAACTCTTACTTGCACCGGTAGTTGCGAACAGTTAAACGGCCCTTCAGTCCAGAAAAAAAAAACAAGAAAAGCAAGAACAAGTCAAGAAAGCCTTTTTACTCACACTTTTATTATTATTGTACGTCTCCTTAATACTCCGTTCCATTCATTGCCTTATCAAATTAAAGAAAGAATAGCCATCTTCTTCTTCCTCTGCTTACCCCGCAGAACTGATGGAGGTGGCGGCTCCGCTGGAAGGATGTCTTCTCAGGGACCCGGATTCCTTCCCTTACTTCATGCTTATGGCATTCGAGTCGTCGGTGGGGCTTCTGCGGTTCGTGGTGCTGCTGTGTCTGTGGCCGGTGCTTTGGCTTTTGAGGGTGACGGGCAAGGGGGAGGTGGCGTTGAGGGTGATGGTGTTTGTGGCGGTGGTGGGGGTTAAGGAGGCGGATATAAAGGCGGTGGCGAGGGCGGTGTTGCCGAAGTTTTTTATGGAGGATGTGGATATGGAGGTTTGGGGGGTTTATAGCGGTTGGGATAAGGGGAGGAGGGTGGTGGTGACGGGGATGCCGAGGCTGATGGTGGAGCAGTTTGTGAAGGAGCATCTGTGCGCGGACGAGGTGGTGGGGAGAGAGCTTTGGGTTAGCAGGTCGGGGATTGCGACGGGATTGTTGAAGGGGGAGGGAGGGGGAGTGGGCGAGAGGCTGAAGGAGTTGGCCGGTGGAGAGTGGCTGCGGGCTGGGATGGGGAGGCCAACGGCGGCGGCGGCAGATGACCGTTGTAAGGTGAGTTATTTATGTCGAGTGATAGTAAAAAAGATTTGCAAGTTATAATAATGCTAAAATAAATTTTAAAAAATATTAACTACAAAATAATAACTATTATTATTTGAAGTTTAAATTCTAATAAAAGACTGCTATTTCTAAAAGGGAAAACTAAAAAATATTTTTATAATATTAATTTTTTATTTTGTGGAAGAATGAAATTAGTTATTACATAAAGTAGATTATATGAATTTTTTTTTTTTGTAATATCATATTTTTAGCTTTTTAGAGAGTATTTAAATTCAATTTCTATAGCATAATAATTTCTAAAATTTTATTAATCATTTAAAAAATTCATAAAATAAATCAAAATTTAATAATTACACAAATTAATGACAATACCGCATCCTAAAATAAAAATATTTTTTCTTGTGATTAACAAATTTCTATTGTACTAACAAAATAAAATTTACAAATCAATCCTTACATCATTTGGAAGCATCGTTCTCCAACTTTAGCTCACACCTAAAAATTACATCCCTTAATAATTCACACTTTAAACTATCAAAATAACCTAGGTTTCGTTTTAGATGATTTTTTTATTATTTTTTAAAATAATTTTGTACTAAAAACTATTTAAAAAAATAATAATACAATTGTTCCAAACAGAATTTTAGAAAGTACAATTATTTAATAGGAATAAGTACAAGTTGTTGATCTTACAGAGAAACTGAAGCTAAAATAATTTAAAAAAAAAAATTCTTATAATTAATTTACAAGTGCCGAAGATTTTAGATAGAGTATTTTTAGCCTTTCATTTGGGATGGAAAATTCTGTTCTACAGGTTACATTGCATTAATTCTATAGAAATTATAATTGCTTTACTGATATTTGATCTTGTGAATATTTTTGCTTCTATTACTCAGCTAACTCTTTATAAGATCTTTCTTGTATCGTTAAGATAACTAATTGTTTGATTTAAGTTTCACAATAAAATGATTGTAATCGTTTGGGACATCTTTCTTATTGCTTCTTAAAGTAATTTTCTAATAAAAATCTTTTAATTTTTGTATTAAAAAGCTGCTCTAAGAAACAGTAAGAAAGTCATCCCAAACGGAGTCTTTGGAGCAGCTTTAGTTCGCTGATTTTTCGCTACTAGAAAGCTGATATAGAAAACAGCATGAAAGTTGTCCCAAACGAAATATAAATATGATCATTTTAATGTATTCATTATTAAGTGGCACTAGGAGTATCAAAATGGATTAACATGTGAGATTCCAATATGAATTAAAATTGACTTGATCTGAACTCAATTGACATGAACCCAACTGATAGATAAGCGGGTCAAAAAAGGTGAACTCGAACCTAACCGGATAAACGTTTAAACTAAAAAACAAAATTTCTTATTTGTCAATAATTAAAAGAATTTAAAGAAAACAAAAAGAGTCACAATTGGATCAAAACTAGGTCACTAAGGGTTCACCAACCTAAAATTCGAGTAATGTATAAAAATGTGTAATGTTGCAGCCACTGATATTCTCATGTATTTATGTATCTAATACTATATTTTTATACTTATTTATATAGCACTTTAATTTTTACAACATATAAAATATATCATTAATAAATCATACTTCATAAATATGAGTGCCTTTAATCTTAGAGACAAATACAAAATGAGTATATACGTGAAAAGTTTGGAATAGCTATAGTGTCAGATAAGATTAGATAGAGCAGCCTTAGATGATTTTAATATCATAAAATATTGGTCTTTAGATGACTTGATTAAGAGAGTGAAATTATTAAATTTGGCTTGTGTTAAAAATGATAAAGATTGACCTAAAAAGACTTAGATTAGCAAGTATTAGAAATGACTATTTTTACAAGATTTAAGTAAGAATTGACTATTAATAGGATATAATGGAAAAAAAAAAGATTCAGGTCAACCACCCCACATAATAGAATAAAGACTTAATATTACTATCGTTGTCTATAGATATTTAAATGCTAGATATATAAGCACTATATTTAAATCTCACTAGAAAATATTTGCCGAGCACATTAATTTTTTTCCTAATATCTATTGATTATCATACATATCATGCTTGAATTTTGGGATATCCTTCATTTAGAGACTGAACCAACCTCTCCTTTGAGGATGAGCAAAATAAGATTATGAAATGCATAATTTTATATTTCAAATAGGAAAATATATTGAGAGTTCATGAAGAAATAAAGTTATCTTGAATATGGGAAGAGCGGTTTGCTCATCAGGTACGGCGAGGTTTCATTTGGGACATTTTTTTTTAAAGAATTTTTTAATTAAAAAAAATTTTTAAAAAAATAATAAAAAAGCCTTGCCTAAAGCAATAATTGCTGAAGTAGCTACAGTGATAGCAGAGCAATAAATTTTTTCTGACGACAAAAGAAAACTTTGCAAGCAGTCTAGAATGACAAAGCATTTTTGGCTCCTGAATAAGGATTGGCGATCACCAACAATTTCAAGCGTGACAAAAAACGAAGAAATTGGAATATATATTAAATTGGGTTTTCGTCAGATTAGTAAACCAAACATTGATGTAGGTGCTAAGTTGTTCTTATTAGGTACTTCATATGATTGCTCCTCTCAGAATTTAAAAAAAATATTTTGACTAGAATAATTGAGTAAAAAAAAGAGAGAATTACATACATGCCTCATAATTTTTTATAAATTTAAATATTTTATAATTAAATTTAGATATTTATTTAATGATTATTTATTTTGTTGAAAGAAAGAATACATGATAAAATAAAATCTCATGTCTGAGAAATATAATGCACTTAAGATTTTGTGAGTGCAAATTAAATGTATGTGATTTTTTTTTGTCTATGATATGTATTATGTACAAGAATTTACCATAAAAATTAATAGTGATGATGTCAAAAATTTTTATTTGATTTTAGAATGAATATGGAAGGCATAAATGTAAAGAGTAATTAATGAGCCAAATAAATTTATAAGTTATTAAATATTAGTCCATAAATAATTTTATTATGAGGAACTCGAAGATGTCTGCTTATTGTTATTATTATTATTTTGCTGTGATTTTCATTAATTTTTGTGCTTTAGATTATTGCCGAAGATATTCTAATTTTTTTTTAATTTTTTTAATCGCATAATGAATGCATTCAGGAGCAGCAGCTGCCATCATTCGGCGATCAACAAGAAAGCAAGCAGTTAATCCGCCCCCTTCCGGTGATCTTCCACGACGGCCGCCTCGTCCGTCGTCCCAAACCCTCCACCGCCCTCCTCATCCTCCTCTGGATGCCCTTCGGAATCCTCGCCGCCTTCATCCGCATCGCCGTCGGCCTCATCGTCCCCATGCCTCTTATCCCTTACATGATCCGCCCATTCGGCGGCAAGGTCATCGTCCGCGGCCGCCCACCCCCTCCCTCCTTCCCCTCCGCCTCCGGCGATAGCGGCGTCCTCTTCGTCTGCACCCACCGAACCCTAATGGACCCCGTCGTCCTCTCCATGGTTCTCGGCCGCCAGATCCCAGCCGTCACCTATTCCATCTCCCGCCTCTCCGAAATCCTCTCCCCAATCCCAACCGTTCGGCTCAGCCGCAACCGCCGAATCGACGCCGCCATGATCCGCGCCGAGCTCGAGAAAGGGGATCTGGTGGTTTGCCCGGAAGGAACCACCTGTCGGGAACCGTTCCTCCTCCGATTTTCCGCTCTGTTCGCAGAGCTCACCGATCGGATCGTCCCAGTGGCGATGAACTACAGAGTAGGATTCTTCCACGCGACGACGGCTAGAGGGTGGAAGGCGATGGACCCAATATTCTTCTTAATGAACCCGAGGCCGGTATACGAGGTAACATTCCTGAACCAGTTGCCGGCGGAGGCGACGTGCTCAGCCGGAAAGAGTCCTCACGATGTGGCTAATTACGTGCAGAGGATACTGGCGGCAACGCTAGGGTTCGAATGCACGAACTTTACTCGGAAGGACAAGTACAGAGTGCTCGCCGGAAACGACGGAACGGTGTCGACGACAATAATTACGGCGGCGACGCCGTGGATGGAGAGGGTGTGTGACGCGCTAGGGTTTCTGCTGCATTAGATTTGAGATTGCTGTAGGTTGATGATGGTGTACTGTTTGGCGGCTGCCGAATTCTGGCTTGTGTGTAGCTTATATGGGTTAAAAAACTGCTGCCTTCCATTGGTTTAGATGTGATTATTTATTTATTTTTACTGCTGTGTGGATATGAATTAAGGCTTGGATTGCGCGTATGAGATGCGTTGTGAGATTCTTGTCAACTAAACTTCCATTATCTCATTGGGAAGTCATGCGAGAAAAGTTTCTAAAAAAGAAAAAAAGAAAAAATTTGTATATATACCCACAAATAAATATTGATGTCATAATCAAAATATTATAGTCACGTGATAGCCGTCGGAGGATTCTAGTGGGAGACGGTGGTCAGAAGGAATGTAGCCGGACGACAATGATGAAAGAGACTGTAGATATTCCAGATGAAAAGATGTTAATTAAATATGTCCCATATAAAGACATGTATTGTTTGAATTTGATGTGAAGAGATGTGTCTAATTTTATGTGGAGTAGAACAATTGCTTATTAAAATAATATAAGCATGAATTGTCCTCTTTCTACCTACACTTTTAATTATCATAATTTCTCATATGCTACGATAATAAAAAAGAAAGGAGGTTAAGTGGAGAAATTATTCTCTGTGGACATCGAATGCAACTCTATATCTGGAGACCAACCAGAATGAGCCATGTCCCATGTTATGATAAGAGTTTTCGTTTGTTAAATAAGAGTCTTCGTTTGTTAAGAAATGACTCTTTTGTGGGTTCTAGTGTTTTATTTGATGGATTATATATAATTAATCTTAACAAAAAATTTGCTAAAACACTTCTCACCTTACATCATGATGTTGGAACTAAAAATAGTAGAATTAATAAGAGTTTTTCTTTCTAGTGGCATAAAAGGCTGGACCATATATTCAGAGAAAGAATGGAGAAATTGGTAAAAGATAAAATTCTTTCAAAATTAGATTTTACTGTTTTTGATATATGTGGATTGCATTAAATGTAAGCAAACCAAACATACAAAGAAAGGTGCTACAAGAAGTGGAAAACTTCTGGAGATTGTCCAAACTGATATCTGTGGATCTTTCTACTCACAATCATTTAATAGAGAAAAATAATTTATCATTTTCATTGATGATTTTTTCACGTTATGATTATATTTATTTGTTGTATGAAAAGTCTCAAGCAATGAATGCATTAAAGATAAATTGATGCGGACATTCAACAGTGGACATTAATCAAAGGGAGAGATGAAAATCGACGATCGAGATCTGTCCATTTTATCTTAGTTTATTAATTATATTTTTTATTTAATTATGCATTTCTCATTTTTACCCTTACTTAAGGGTCTTATCTTATGTAAGCCCAAGGGGCAAAGTTGTCTTTTAGTTTCTTTTAAAGCCTATATATAGAGACTCTTGCTCTTGTATTAGACAATGATGGATTAATAAAAAAATTGCTTATACATTTTGTTCTTGAGAACGATGGGAGTTCTTATGAGAGTGGAAGTCTCTATGTGAGGGCAATAAAATACCCACCAGCCACATGATGTATTCGGGCTCGTGGTTGAAGTCCCTTGGTGAAGGGCAACACAATACCCATCAGTCTTTGGAAGAGTTCGAGACTTACAGTTTATTTTCTTTCTCTAATCTCTCACCTCCTTCTCCTTTAACCGTCGGCTAAATCTTCCCCTAGCCGCCGACTTTCTACCTCCCATCCTCTTCCCACCACTGACCACCCACCCCCTTTCTTTTTCAACCATCAGCCACCACCCTCCCCCCTTCTTCCAACCATCGATTGGCTCCCCATCTCCACCCTAAAACCTCACCAAACCGCCACCTTCTCCACCAAGCCGCCACTTTCCTTAGCCCTCCCATCCTAGTTTCCTTCTTTACTATTTGGATTCTAAAAAACATTTGAATTTAAATTTCAAATATTTTCCTAAATTAGTTATCTTATTTTACGAAAATATTACAATCAAACCTATTTCAAATTCAAATAGGATTTGATTTAAATACTCCTTCCAAATTTAAGATTTCCCACTTTGCAAGCTTTAAATCACCTCCTAAGGCCCTTATCCCCTTCCTTTGGTCGGCCCCTCTCCCTGTCTCTCTCTCTCTCTCACCTAATTAAGAGGCTCATTAATGCTCCCCTAATTAAGCCTCCAATCCCACCAATTACTCCCACCTCTATGACTAAATTAATTTTAGTATTTGAATTTGATTCTCTCTTATTTCAAATTCAAAATTTTGAAATTGAATTTCCCTCTAAAAGCTACCACCCAACCTAAACCCTACCCACTCCTCCTAGTGGCCGCCTATAGCCCCACCATTTTTCCTCCTAAATTTATTCTTTCCTAAATTAAGTCGTTTTAATTTTAGTAAGTTGTTGAATTCAAATTCAAACAAATTTAAAATTTCAAATTCTTTCCTTAAATTATTTAATTTAATTTTGAAAAGTCTTCGCTCAATCATGGAATGATTAAATTTAAAATTGATTGGGAATTAATTCAAAATTCATACATTCATCGAACCTAAACGCCTCTTCATACATTCATTGAATATAGACACTTCTCTCCCCTCCTTTGGCCGGCCCCCATCTCTTTCACTCCCTCCTAAATTAATTAATTCCCCAATTGGACATCCACTAAGGGAAATTAATTAACCAACCCATAAGAGCATGGTAGTTGTACATAATACATAATGTCTGGTATGCCTCAATAAAATGGTGTAGCTAAAAGGCACAATCATACTCTTATAAAAATGGTTAGAAGTATGTTAAGTAACTCCTTAGTACGCATTTCACTACGAATGGAGGCCCTTAAGACAACCATTTGTGTGCTTAATCGAGTTCCTAGTAAGGCAATTCAAAAGACTCCTTTTGAATTATGGACGGGAAGGAAATCGAGTTTAAGATATTTTCATATTTGGGGTTGTCCAACAGAGGCTAGGATATATAATCCATATGAAAATAAATTAAATTCTAGAACTGTAAGAGAATACTTTATTGGTTATCCAAAGAAGTTTAATGGGTATATATTTTATTGCCCTAACTATAGTATAAGAATTGTTTAAACTAGAAATGCCAGATTTCTTAAGAATAGTGAAGTTAGTGAGAGTGATGTATCATAAAATGTAATCATCGAAGAAGTTCGGGTGCCTGTTTAAATACCCATAGCTTCAAATGAATTATTTTTTATCCAGTTGTCAAACAATATGATAATATTGAACAATAATCTAGTGATTAGTCACTCTATAATTAGAATGTCACCAATGAACCAGTTACTGAAAAATCACAAGAAATGACATTAAGGAGATCTCAAAGAGAAAAGAGATCAGTTATTTTAGATGATTATTTAGTATATTTATAAGAATCTGACTATGATTTAAGAACAAGTAAAGATCCAGTTTTATTTTCACAAGCTATTGAAAGTAGTGATTCTGAAAAAGTGGACCAATGCTATGAATGATGAGTTGAAATCAATGGAATAAAATAAAGTTTTGGATGTCGTCGATTTGCCTGAAGGTTTTAAGACAACCAGATGTAAATGGATCTTTAAGAACAAACGAGACTGAAATGATAATATTGAACCACATAAAGCTAGATTTGTTGCAAAATGTTTCACTCAAAAGGAGGTATTGATTACAAAGAGAAGTTCTCTCTTTTATAAACGGACTCTCTTAGGATCATAATGGCTTTGGTGCCTTGTTTTGATTTGGAGTTACACCAAATGGATGTGAAAACTGTTTTTTTAAATGGAATTTTAGATGAAGAGGTTTATATGGATCAACCTGAAGGTTTCTTAATTAAAAGAAATGAACATATAATATGCAAATTGAAGAAGTCAATTTACGGACTTAAACAAACTTCCAAGTAATGATATCTTAAGTTTAATGATACAAGCACATCCTTTGGATTTAAGAAAAAATATCGTTGATTGGTGTATATACCTAAAGGTTAGTGTGAGCAAATTTATTTATTTGATTATGTATGTTGACGGCATATTACTTTTCATAAATGATCTTGGATTGCTAAATGAAACCAAAATATTTCTTTCTATGAACTTTGAAATGAATGATATGGTAAGGCAACTTACGTGATAGGAATTGAAATATTTCACAATAGATCATATGGATTATTAGGATTGTTTAGAAAGAGATATATTGATAAAGTTTTTGAAAAATTTCATATGGTTGAATGTGCAGCCACTACTGCTCCTATTTGTAAAGGGGACTAGTTCAATGAAAAGGACTGTCCACATAATGCATTAGAAAAGAAAAGAATAGAAAATATTCCCTATTAATATTTTGTTGGAAGCATGATGAATGCCCAAACTTGTATAAGACCAGACATTAGTTTTATAGTTTGAATGCTTGGAAGATATCAAAGTAATCCAAAAATAGAGTGTTGGAAAGCCGCAAAAAAAAGTTTTAAAATATTTGATGGGAACAAGATATTGTATGCTTACATATCGAAGGTCTGATTAGTTGGAGTAGTTTACTATTTCGACTCAAATTTTGCTGGTCATGTTGGTAGTCGAAAATCAACTTTTGATTACTTGTTTCTATTAGCTGGAGGGACAATATCATGGAAAAGCGCCAAGAAGACTATCATAGTAGCATTTATTATGGAAGCTGAATTTGTGGCATGCTTTATGGTTATAGAATTTTCTCAGGACTTGGAACTATCGACAGTATTGCCATAGTGTTGAGAATATATTGTAATAATTCAGTATCAATCTTTTTCTCCACGAACAACAAATATTCTAATGACGCTAAACACATGGAGCTCAAATATTTGATCGTTAAGGAGGAAGATAAAAAACAAAGTGTTCATAGAACATATATTGAGCTCATGATTGCATATCCTTTAACTAAAAGATTGACACCAAAGACATTTAAAGAACATGTTGATGGCATGGGTCTTTGTTGGTTAATGGCTGGAATTGTATTTGACAAAGGTGCTATTGGGACATTGCAATTAATTCTTATTATGAAGTTATTTGCTAATATTGTGGTGCATGGAAGCGAAGATGTCACTTCATTGATATTTACCGCCATGACTCATGTTGATAAGTTACTTAATTATGATATTATTGTAATATCATTAAAGTGAGAATAAACAAATGCTATGTGCATATTATGTTCACCTTGACAATCTAAATAAATGTTGTTCATATGAGCCATATGGGAGAATATTAGAATATTCCATATGAAAAGGTGCTAATAAAATGTCCCATATGAAGAGATGTATTATTTATATTTAATGTGAAAATGTGTGTCTATTTTTATAGGGGTAGAATAATTGCTTATTAAAATAATATATATACAGGAATTATCCTCTCTCTACCTATGCTTTCAATTATCAGAATTTCCCATATGCTTTGGTGATGAAAAGAAAGGAGGCTAAGCGAGAGAAATAATTTCTACAAGTTTTTCTTATAGGATATTTCATTATATCTGATTATGGTATGTATCAAAGAAATGTTTATTTCCACATTAAGAGAATTTTGTGATTTTCATGATAGTTAAAGATCTAAGTTTAATGTACTTATTTTTATAGGTGGAGGTTAGGCAATAGTGCGACGACCATCGTTGACAAGTGATAGTGATCAGGTATAGCTCCAAGATTTCTAGAGCTTACAAGGTCTCTTTAATCTCAAGCATACGTCCAAACTTTCGCTCCAAGCTTCCTCTTCATTTAGAGAGTGAGAGCTAGATTTTTTAGAGTGTCGTGTCTCGTAAATATAATCAAAATCTAAAACACTCCATCAGACGACCAATGTTGATTTTCTCATTCTTAGATTGTTCTTTTATCATTTAAGTTTATTAATAATGTCAAAATTAAATGATCATAAGCTCATTTATTTTTTTCTCGTCGACATGTTTGATTCAACTATAAGTATGCACGATTTGGTGATGGTTTGGCCATTTAATTAATGTCTTGAAGTTTCAAATTATATTTCAAATGCTTTATTCAAACACACTAAGGCTTCGTTTGGGACGGTTTTTTTCTGCTTTCTAAAACAGAGTTTTAATACAAAAATAAAAAAATTTGTACTAAAACTCCGTTTTAAAAAACAATAAAAAAGCCATCCCAAACGAAGCCTGGACAACTTTCTTATTGCTTTCTAAAGCAATTTTTTATATAACAATTTTTTGTTCAACAAATTTTGTACTAAAAAACAGCTTTAGAAATCAGTAAGAAGGTTATACTAAACAAAGCCTAAGGCTTCGTTTGGAACAATTTTCTTACTACTTCTTAAGGCAACTTTCAGAGCTACTTTCAAGAAGAAAGCTTTAGGATGGCTTTCTTATTATCTTAAAGCAACTTTATAGTATAAAATTAAACCTTTTGTATAAAAAGTTGATTTAAGAAGCAATAAAAAACTGTCTGAACCTATGCTTCGTTTGGGACAACTTTCTTTCTACTTCATAAAGCAAATTTCTAGTACAAAATTAAAATTTTTTGTACTAAAAAGCTAATTTAAGAAGCAGAAAGAAAGTCATCCCAAACGAATCCTTAGACTCAATCAAACCACTTTTTGTATCATTAGACTTATCTTGTTAAGACATTCCATTTCATTATAACTTGCTAAAATCAACGTCAAAATGGTGTTAAATTTAATTTTGACATTCCATTTCATTATAACTTGCTAAAATCAACGTCAAAATGGTGTTAAATTTAATTTTGAAAGTTTTCAATTCAAATACGCATCGAGATTCATGCATGATAATGATGATTTTTGTTGACGCATCAAATGTCAAAGTCATTATAGCAATTTTGAGCTAAATATGATATATGAATAAATAATCTAAATTTGTTTTAGATTTATCTTAAATATAATAGACAAAATTCATATTATCCATAATTACATTAATTTTTTTTCTAAAATTTATCTAAAAAGATGAGGGCCTCCCCCACTCCTTCCCTTTTTAATTCCACTATCTTAATAAAAAAACTGTGATTATTATCTAAACATGGCAAAAGTGTCTGACATTACAAAAATAGTCACATATTTTTATTATCAATAATTAATTTTTTTATGATATCATCTCATACTTCAAATGTGCGACCTTATAATTAAATGTGTAGGTAATAAAATACTATTATTAACATTTTTTTAAATGTCCCTCCATGCACAACAACATCAACAAACCTTTATTATACTACATGGGTCAACTATATGAATCTTTTTTCTCAATTGTGTCCTATTAAGAATCAAATTTTCATTTAATGCTTCATTTGAGATAATTTTCTTATTGCTTTCTAAAGTAGCTTTTCAGTATAAATTTTTTTTGAAATTGAAACTTTGTACTAAAAAGTTGCTTTAGAAAGCAGTAAATTATCCAAAACGAATCCTAAAATTTCCTCAATATAAAGAAAATAAGGTACAAATATGATGATTGTAATAATGTTGAATGTATAAATAAGATTATTTAAGATGCTATAAACAAGATGACCATGCAGAGGAAGAATAAAACCTTAAACAATTAGATATTTCTAAGTATAAGTTATTAAAGGAAACAATTTGTGATATACAAATATAACTAGATATCATTAAAGGTCAAGGAACAAGGTGCATACATCATTCAGGATTCTCTATCAAAGCATTCAACATTCATCAGTTAGTTTCTCTTCATCAAACCACCTAGGAGGGTCAAATCCATGCCCACCTGTATTGTATCAAATTGCTTAGTGAGGTAACACAATATAGAGCAACAGTGCTCTATAAAGCAAAAAACAGAGCCAAAAAAAAATCATATAGATATCAAATAAAGTGCCCATTCAAAACTGTACGCTAAACAGATACAAAGAACTTAAATTCAGCAACAAACTTCATAACAGAAGCATAAATGAACTTCTTTTCAATCATGTAAATCAGCCAAGAATTTACAGTGCAAGGAAATGTATCAGGAGTTTAAGACATTCAATTATAACATAAATCAGACTGGTTATGTTATAGTAGTGATCAAATTCTGATTATTCCTCAAACAGAACACCAAAATGAATGTGATGTGAAACCATGCAAGGAAAATAAGAACTGCTTGGGGATTTTAATATTTGATTAGTAAAGCTTTGCTAGTTATAGACTTTGTGTTTTCTCAAGTTAGGTTCTCAGAATTATCAATTAGAAATTGTGTAAGGCAATGGGTTACGACTAGATTAATGGGATGCTCTCAATTTAATAACATAAAATAGGGAAAGTAATGTTGTGGCAAAGAAACAATAATCCAAGGTTTAACAAATAGAACTGTTCATCTTGAGTCCCTCATTCACACTCTTGATGGTGGGGTTTTAACGGAGGAAGATCGAGAACAACCAGAGCGATGCCACTAGGAGACAAATGGTGCCCACGGCATAGTTCGTTGGAGAAGTAGTCGACGGCGGGGAATCCACGGGATGACTAGTGAGTATCCAACGTCCGGTAGGAATGTGCTCCTTGATGGAAGGTACTAGCATGAAAAGGATGCAATCTAAATAATCCTCCACGGATTATTTCAGATTTTCTTTGGGGGGGGGGTGGGGGGGGGGGGGGGGGGGCGCAAAATTAAATACAAATCAACCCAATTAAGGGGTTAATGGGGCCAGCGGCTATTAGGGAATTTAGGAGGGGATTAATTGTTGCTTAGGTGACAAAGTGGAGAGAGAGGGGAGACAAAGGGGGCCGGCCCTATGGGGGCTTAAAATTGTGTTTAGGTCCATTGTAAGTGGGGACCAAGTGATTGAATATTTAATTAAATCAAATTCTGAATTAAATTCAGATTTGATTAGATTTGAATGGTTTCCTAATTGGGTTTTATCATTTAGGAAGGTATTTGAAATTCAAATTTCAAATTGAATTAAATTAGGAAACTTCCTAAATGACGAGGGGTTAATTTAGGAAAGTAATGAAAGCTTACTTGAATTTGAAATTCAAACTCCAAGGCTTAGCCTTTGATTGGCCAGCGGGTGGGGCTCCAATGGAGCCGGCGGCTTTGATGTTGGCTCCGCTGGAAGGGAGGTGAGAGGGATTTAGTGGGACAAGTGAGGGGAAAGGGGATCCGGCAGGCTAAGGGGAGGGGAAGACGTGGGGGTGTTGGCCGGCAAAAAGTAGGTGGGTTGGGAGGTGGGGACGGCTAGAAGAAAAGAGAAAAGGGGAAGAAAAAAATAAAGAACCAAGAGCTCCCACAAAGGGGGCTGTTGGGTAGTTTGTGTGAGCCTCTCCTAGGCTACTCCTCCCCTTTAGAACTCACAAAGAGATCATGAGCAAAAGCTGAATTTTTTTATATCAATAATCATCATCCTCATACAAAGTAAAGGACCTCTATATATAGGTCTCAACAAAACGAAAACAAAAGGACTCATATGCCCCTTAGGCTATAACAAAGGCTCAACACCCTATAAGGGTAAACTAGTAAACTAAAAATATCAAATAGAACGATACATGGAAATAAATCAAAAATATAGGCCCCGAATCGTAGCCGTCGATCTATGATTCCTCCAATGGATACACGTGTTGAAATCTCTGACTGATGTCCTCATCAAAATGCATACATCATTTAGGTTCACCTGGAGTTAAGCAAGAAAGATTGTCCCAAATATCTGATAGGAAACACTTGAAGATTTTAAAGTAAATCCTATCAATTTTGGACAAAACAACGAGAAAACTCTTCTAAACTCCAATGAAACCCAGAAAAACAATAGTTTTTTATTGCAATAATCAAAGATGCGGAAGGAAAATACCAAGATACAGTCGATCCTCAATTCGAGAGGAGGATCTATCTCTCGCAAATCTCTAGATGCCGCTAGAGCCCAAAAAATCTAAGAGATCTCAAATTTCAGACAAATTCAAGATGCCCTAACCATAGGAAAACAAATTATTTAATGCATACAATCAAAAAGGAAATCTCTAAACCCTACATTCAAATTTCCCTCCTAACTCCTAAAAAAAACCTTCCTAAACATCTCCCTTGAACCTGACAATCGAATCGGGGCCTACAGAAGGTGGAAACTCTTCGCCTACTTCGCACGAGCCGGTCTTGTAGGACTGGCTAGACCGGTCCAATGGACGGGTCTAACAATATCACATAATATTTTTTTTTTCTGTAGGCAGCATTTCACGGGAAAAGCAGCCAGGAGGGGTAAAACCGAGTGGGAACAGCAACAACCAGCAAAAACTGAGAAGATAAAGTAGAAGAGAAGGCCAAAAGTCCACTCCTCAATAATGATCTAAAAAGAAGTATACCTTTTTGATTTAATGAGCTAGGAAGTGCATTTATTCCTCAATCATTGAGCTAAACTTCAGCTCATGAATTTATGAGTTAACACCAAGTAGAATCCAGGATTTTGAGCTCAATACCAAGCAGCCAAGGCCCAATCTGTGAGCAGCAAACATCTCCAAACTGAGAACAACAAGCAGCCCATGGACAAGAAGAATTGACCCCCCCCCCCCTTGCATACATCAAAGGCCTAAATAAAAGAATTATTTTTATGCACAGAGAAATATAAAGGTCTAAATGAATATGTAAATGTGACATGTTTCTAAAATCGGATTCGGGTTAAAAAAATGTGACATGTTTCTAAAATCTAGTCGGATTCAGGTTGACCCGAAAACCCGAAATCAACCCGAAGTTGACCCGGGTCAAGATACGCTAGCCAGCCTTCCGTGCCACACTGCCACAGGTGTCGCCCGGCCTATCCCGCTCGGAGTTGGTCTTGCCCAATCAAGCGTCCGCACGTCACGCGCTCAGCCGCCTAGCCCTAGCCCGCCTCGGCCTGGCTGCCTTCACCATGTCGTCACGAGCCCAGTTAAGCCAGTCGCCAACATGGCACGTAGTAGTCGACACGCTCTCATGAGGCACCGCCTTGTCCTAGTCGCCCACCACCTCGCCTAACCCGCTTCAACCTAGCCTTAGCCCGCCTTGTCCTGGCCGCTCACCGCCTCACCTAACCCGCCTTCACCACGGCGTCATGCACCCAGGCTTTTAAATCCGAAATTCAAAAAAGAGCGGTTTGACGGGTTGTGTCGGGTTAACTCGGCAACCCTTGTGGGTCAGGTCCGGGTTAGCAATATTGACCCGTTTGCAAAACTGGATAAGGATAGGGTCAATCAATTTAAACCTGGGTCCATTCGGGTTCGACCCATGGACCCGCTTTAACACCCCTAAAAAAACCATCATATAGGTCATCAAATAGGTAGGTCCACTTATGATAGTCATTGGATAATAACCAAACTAGAATATTTTGTCCTCGATTGTTGTTGTGGTTGGTCCTCTGGGATGAGTAATTTGAAAATTGTAACCATTCCTAGAAACTCCCCACTTAGTCATCTAATTAATTACTCCCTCTATATATAACTAGCTATACTTCACGCATCTCAATTGATCATTTAGGCTTTATCCTAGCTCAAAACTCTAGGCTACATCTTAGGTTTTGAATTGTACTTTATCTAAGCTTGATTTATGTAGAAGTCTTTTGGAACAAATTCCCCATGATGAACAAAATGACAAAAGATTAAATACTTACTCTCATGATTCCACACCAAAAATCATGAAAAAAAAACTTTATAATTATAAGATGATCTCAATCACACAAAAAGCCTCTGAAACAGATCACAAATCTTAAATATTAGTTTTAAGACTGCATATTTACTTTTAGGAGGAACGTTAAACGCTATCTCGGAACACAGTAAAAAAAACTGATAATCTATGAATGTTAAAAATTTTAAGAGCGTGCATTAAAAGTAAGAACTGAAGAGTATTAATTTCAATATTACTATTTTAAATTTCAGACATGGTTTAAAATTGCGCAATAGGAGGCTCGCCTTGAGGCTTGCCTTTGCGCAATTCCAATAAAAAACGTTCTGAGGCTTGCGCCTCTACATGGTTTAGACCCGCCTTGAGGTGTGACTCGCCTCACTGGCGTGAGGCTTACGCCTCACTCTATATATATTAAAACTTACATAAATCCTGAAGTAAAGCCCCGAACAAATCATACTTCGTGTACCCCAAGTCGCAACAACGTCCTCTCAGCTGCCTCAACCTCCAGCCCGTCACCTTTGCCACAACCACCAACATCATAGCCTCCATTAAGGATCACTTGATAGCCGCACACCACCACTACCTTCTCTAAAATTTTTGGAGTATTAATCTCATATTTATGTTGATGAAAAACATTTTTGAAAGAGGAAAATATCTAAAATAAATGAAGAAGAAGGATATTGAGAGTCATTATACTCCACAAATGAGACGGGAGAGATCAATTTGTTATAATGACGACTCAAATAAAGATCCCCTCAGTGATGACAATACCATCGATTAAAAAGGCGTTCGAGGCGGAAGCCTCGAGGCGCGCCTCAAATCGAGGCGGAGGTCGAGCGAATTGAGGCTTAAGCCTCGAACGTTCGGGCGAGGCTTACGCCTTTTTCCATGGAGGCGTACGCCTCACCGCGTGAGGCGTCGAGGCGCATCGAGGCAGCTCCTCGAAAGTGAGAAAGTTACCTTCACAGTCAGCGAGCTCCCGTTGTTTCTTCCGATCAAAATGTTGTAGCTTACGATCCGACAGGAAAGGGAAAGTCGTCGAAGGAGCAAAGTCGAACAGCCACGAAGGAGCTAAAGAAGCGACGCGTGCAATCTCTACACCTCCTGTGAAGCAACGAAGCCGAACAGCAAGGACGAAAAGAGAAGATGAAAGGCAAACCGTAGACGCAGCCAAGTTTTTATTGATTAACTTAGTTAATCCTCGAGGCTTACGCCTCGCCTCGCTTAGAAAAAACGCCTCGATTCCCGATTTCGCCTTTTAAAACCTTGGACAATACAGATGATTTTCTAGTTATTATCAATTTTTCAGCCTTTTTTAGAAATTAAATATGGATGAGTAGGAAACTAAGAAAGAAAGAATTTAAAATTAAACTTAATGTTATAAACTTATATGATACTATTATGCAATTTCTATATTTAATAATTTTTACTCACGTAATATTTGTATTTCAAGTATATTTCATGCAATTTATCATTAGCCACTTTACATCTTGTGCAATTTTTTGTTTCATATGTATGTCATTGTGTTATTTTATAGTTCAATAGAAAGATAATGTCATTTTTAATATATTATTTGAATATTATATAAAATTTTACTTTTAACATTTATTTGTACTTAATGTAATTTTTTATTTTGAGGCTCACGCCTCAAAATGCCTTGAGCCTTACACCTCGCCTCACAAACAAAAAACGCCTCAATACCTAATTGCGCAATTATAAACATTGATTTCAGATGTTTGTTTAAAACATTACGGGACTATGTAACTTAAAATATGACACCGCAGTAGCTTAAAATGTTTGGTACTTCAGAAGTGGAGGAATGCATGTTAAATTAAATTGAACCATTTAAATAATTAAGTTAAAGTAATAAGGTGCACATGAACTGTCACTGTGAATGCATGTTTAATTCTTCACTGACATAATAACGCAAATTGAATGTTTAATAAACTTCCATATCTAAGAGAACTATTTGACTATCATTTCTAACATCATTTGAGCTCTACCTTTCAATAGCATAATAATAAATTTAATACACAATATCATGAGGAAATTAGACGCCAATAAAGGGGCAACTATGTAAGTATGCATAAAAAAAAATTAAGCATCAACTTGTTACGATATCATTTGGCTACGTTAGCGCAATTGTATCCTTCTAGCATTTTTTTTTTTTAAGTAGCATATACTATGTTAGTTATAAAACGCTAGATTGACATTTAATCACTACTCATAATGGTCCTGGTAAAGAATCTATACCGAAATGAAAAATAAAAATAAAAAAGGTTCTTTAAAATAATGGTAGAGTACACATGCAAAAAAAAAACTTATATAAAGGCATTGTGAGAAAAAGCAAGAAAAACCTCTTTCCAAACTGATTAGGGACAAAAGTGAAATGACAGAAAAAGTATACATCATTTTTGTAGAATAGTTTTGTCAAGCTTAGGAAAATTAATGTTCCACAATTAATTAAGTCAAGAATTTATATAGCATTTGAATTATTTTAGGACTTTTTTAGTTGTAATTTATTAATTGATAGAGAAATCGATATTTTATAATAGATGATAGTTTTGTTAAGAGTTATCTATAACTAAATTAGATTTGAATTTAATTTGGTTTGATCTTATCTTGTAAGCAAATTTATATAAATGGGGTTTCTATGGCTAGGCGTAGTTGAATTATTGAATTGAAATTTATGATTTATATTCTATTCTCTCTCCTGATTTTTTGTTTCCAGTCTCCAACTTCTATTTAATAATATTCAAATTACTTCATGGCACAAAACTTTTACTGAAAACTCTGGCCCTAATAAAATTCAAAGATATATTTCAATAATTTTGACATTTAGATTGGATTCCAACCTAGTATCAAACCTCAACTTCTCATATGGGCATTAGACTAACAATCGCATATTTTAAAGTAACTCCCTTTTCCCAAGTTGATGTTTTTTGCCCATAAATGACACTTCTAACTTAAGCTTCCACACAAATATGTCATGGTAGTTAATGGAGGGTTAACATAGCTACAAACATAAGAATGCCTGCAACTAAACCACTTACCCTCAAAACCATAACAAATAAATAAGGACAAATATTTTATCTAGTTTTCAGCATAGCTTATTCAATATTTTGGCATTATCCTTGGCATATTCATGATAATGAAAACTTTTGAAGTAATTAAGTTCCGTTCATGAAATATAACTTTTAAATTAAAATATGCAACTATATTCAATCCAGGGCACTAACTAATTTTCTTATCAATTTTAGCTCTCAATAGATTTTCTTAAAACCGAATTTCCAAATCCTTGTCGTTCTCATTGAACTAATTAGTATCATGCTAGAAGTGGCTTGTGAAGGGATAAGAATGCTGTAATTTTTTCATAAAGAACAAACATATTAATCTAACATGAAAGGAATTTGGAAGAAATCATTAAGTAACACATCGTAAACACACAAAATATGACTCATGGTATATTAATAATGCATTTCTGCAGTAAAAAGATTACGTATTTATTGACATTCAATCCAAAAGGAAAATAAAGTTGAAATTTAAAACGTATAATCATCTAAAATGGCACGTACCAAGAGGGTTGCAACGACAGAGACGCCAACCTGTCAAGATTGTACCCTTCACAAAGCCATATTTTTTGTATGCCTCCATCGAGTATACACTACAGGATGGCACATATCGACAGCTTGAGGGAAGGATTGGTGATATCTCGCCTGCTCAATTTTAAATCAAATATCAAAAAAATAAAACACTAATTCACCGAAACAATATAATAACCTTCAAAGAGAGAATGTAGTAATATATATTCTATTGAACAATAATGCCTAAGAAATCACTCCCGTTGCTAGTTCCAGCTAAGGGAAGAAGAAGGAATCAAGAAGAGACTACAAAAATATGATGGGAACTATATAAACTTACTTCTGTAAAATTTAAGCATTGATAATGCTGCCCTAACCCCCAAATCAGAAGTTTCCTCATCTGAAAGGCACTAAACTTGTACGAATTGAGTATGTTAAAAAACATGCTAGCAAAAAGGTTAGAAAACAAGAAATGGTTAAAAATAAATAGATCAATCCAACCTGTGGCCGTCTTGCTAGACGAGTCATCCTTGGATTGACAGGTCACATAAGATCGGACACCCTTTTTCATTTTCTATTTTCAGATAAAAGTAATCATAAATCAGAAGAGAGGCCGGAATCAAAACGGAAACTAAGGGAATATTAAAAAAATTAAACATTATTAGCTGTCAAATGCCCAACGTTTTGGGGGAGAAAAGCTAAAAATTGGAGCTAGGGTTTCTCTAATTACCAGAGAAGTGTGATGGTGATGCTGCACACCGCATATTACTCCGAGAGAGAAGCTAGCAACTTCCCTCCTCTCAGCACTTAAGGATTGGCGCGAAGTGAACCCACCGGGAAAGGAAGAAGAAGAAAGCTCCGGCGGACCGGGCAGAGTGAGCAACGACATATGCAGGAACAACGTAGCTCGCACGCAGTGCTGTACTGGAGGCTCGGCTCTACTATAAGCTCGGTCGATAAATTTGTGTATTTTTTTTAAGTTTTTGATATTTTAATAAATAAATTTGAATAATTATATATTCTACTTATTTATATTTAAGATAATAACATATTCGATATGAAGCTTGATACGAAACTAAAAGTTTTTTAAGAAGCTCGAATCTTGTTTGATGAAGAATATGTTTGAAAATTTATTGGATGTTTGATATAAATATTGATTATTTCTCATTAAAAAAGATAAACAATCTATATAAATATTTTATGTTTATTATAATTTTAAAATATATTAATTAATAAGTAATAAATTATAAAATTAATTAAACATTCTAATATATATTAATGAGAATTCATCATAAATATCTAGTAATTGATATAATATTATTATGATATTTAATTAAATTTATTTTTATTTCATTATATTATCTAATTCTCCATTTATATTTTATTTTTATCCCTCATTAATTTTTAACCAGTCTCACTTGCATAGTTCGCTCGCTAGTCGCAATTCACAAATAACAAACCCTATCATTCTCTCGTTAGTCTTTCTCCGCTATGTCATCACGCCAAACCCGCATCTTTCTCCCCATGTCAATCAGCTCACTCTTCAACCCTCCTCTTTTACCTCTATGCCAATCGTGAGACTCTGATGTTCGTTTAGGGTTAGCTTTTCAATTTCTCCTTTTATTGATGTGTTTCTCCTCACGGCCATTTCTTTGTTGTTGCTTTGCAAGTTGTTTTTAGGGTTTGCTACTTCTCCTCTCGGCCTTTCTTATTGTTGCTTTACCTTGCTCAATAATGTTAGATTGAAAGTGTGATGCCTCAAATCTAATTTGAAAGAATTATTCATTTATCTTTTAATAAACAACAACAAGAGTTATCTAATATCATCTATGAGTAATATATAATAAATAGATTCTATAATTCAAAATATTAATGTACACATATATATATTCAATCTCAAAAACTATATATAATACTCAGGATCTACACAATCATCATATAACTATTATGTCCTATGTACAAAAGAAAAATAAAAATAAAAACGGAACCTAAAGAATCCTGACCAGCCTCACATTCCTGCTCCCCTATCGAGTCATGAAATCATTTTACCACATATAATAAGCTTAAAAAACCCATCAAGTCACCAAAATCTACAAATGAAATTAAAGCACGACAAAGGAGCAATATATATATGTCAATAGTAAAATCATAGCAGTTGCATCCATATGATCATTGAATCAATGCAGAAACTATAAAATTCATATACAATAGTAGCATAATCTATAAACAGTAAAACACTACAGTACTTAAGACAATAAAATAGTAAGCTAGTACGAGTGCTAAATTTATAAAGCAATCATTGTATCAATAATACCAATCAATACATAAATCATATAAAAATATTAAATCAAACTATCGGTAAAAATTGTCGAAATAAAATCAATGTAGTAAAATCATATAAGAATGTACACATGCTATCTAAGCTTCTTATATAACGTGCTCAACATATCACATGCTTAGTATAAGTACATTGAATCAATATTATCAAACAGTATCAATATCCAGATCGGTAATAATAACAATTTAGTGGCAGAAGCAGTAAAATAATATAATAACAATAAATCCGTACAATAAAAAAAATAATACTTAAAAATACTAATTTCAGTAGTCACATTAAATAAGTAAGAAGACTTAATTATCACGGTATTTTTTAGTGTTAGTAAACCGTTGGCTCAGTAAATAAAGTCGTCACTCTTTGCTCATCGGCACAGTAATTATCTCCTTATAACTCTCAATCAGTGTCACATAAATCAGTAGAGGATAACACCAAATCATAGTATTTAAAGGAAAGTCCATCGGTCCACCATCTTCCATAGTCAATCAGTCTCCGACGAACGGGTCAACTAGTCTTTAATTTTTTATTTCATACACACATATTATTATTACAAAACTATAACAGTAATAGCAACCAGCTATTACTCAAGTATATAACCATATCTATTTTTAATGCATTGCAACAAATAATAAATTATTGAGCTTAATTAAGAAGATGTCAAAATTTCATAATGTTGAATAACACTGAATTCAATTAAATAAAAATGCACATTTTTGGAAAATTGCCAAAATAATAGGAATTGTATAAAATGATGTTTAATATTTTTTTGTCTTACACAACTATTTTTAGAGGTAAAAAAATTTTTTTTGGTAGCTAAAAATTGTTGTATTTTCAAAATTACTCGATGAAAAATCTCAAATAAATACTCAAAATAATCATAATCTTGATATTTATTACATACAAAAAATTACGTGGTAAAAGTTTTGTCAATACAAAGTTATATACGTTTTTTTGTAACAGAAATATAAATTTGATCAAAAAAATGTCAAAAATATAAAATTCTTGAAATCAGAAATAGGGTAAATGTTCGTTATAGCAAGATGAGTAAATCTCCCGATAGGCCCGACTGACGAAAATAGCTCCGTAGCTTTCAAATCTAAATTTTCTTTTTCTCTCTCCTAACCTTTTCTCTAATTATCCCTCTCACAGGTCTTTGTTAGCCGAAATAAAGAATAAAATGGATTTAAAAAAGTTAAATTAAGTGACATTAGATATTTTATTAAAACAACATTTTTATATTATATAATTTATTTAATCAATTTCTTTTAATAGAAAATTCTTAAAAAATTACAACAAAAATATTTATAAAATAAAACATGTTATTTAGAAAATATCAGTAAAATCAGTTTGCAAAACGGACACCTGACGGTCCCGAAATCCTCACATGTACCAACAAGTACCAATTTCTTAAAGATTTTCACCGGTGCCCAAAATTACGAAAAAATTCCCTCAAGTAAAATGTTACAATCAAAATATTACGACAAAGACATATTACGATTTAGAGTTATAACGACTCCAAAAAAAATTAGCAAAATTAAAATACATTCTATTGCATGAAGTCAGGATGGGAGCTCGCTCATTGCAAAGGTAACCATTTATACGTTTGCTTTGTTGTGCTGATGATTACTAAATGGACTTTGATTTATAAATAAAAACCGACGCTTCTATTGCTTTTTGATTTTTTTTTTATTTTCTAGGCGATATTGATAATTTTTGGAAGGAGCAAATGATTCATTCTACTTCATTGAGCTTTTTTTTTTTTTTTTTTTTATAATCTTGCTAATTTAGTGGCTTTTTTACTTTGAAGGTTCTCTTTTTCATTACACTGAGTTATTGAATATATGATCAAGATGTACTTGTTCATGTTTAATAAATTCTTTGATTTCAATGTTCATTAAGAAGCTCTTTCAATAAAAATATCATTTATGAGCTTATCAAGCTACTCATTTATAGGCTAGAGAAAGTATAATAACCCTTAAATTTTAAAATAGTTGTTTGAACTATAACAGCAAAAAAGTTATTTCATGAGTCATTATGAGTCCAAATTATAAATTATCTCCCCCACCATAATATATATATATAATCTATTAAAAAAAATCATTCATGAGTACCATTCATAATATTTTTTAAAGTATTTTTTATTTTATAGTAATTAATGATAATATTAATATACTCATTAAAATACTTAAATTATTGTACAAATTAAAATATATAGTAAAAAATTTATATTTTTTCAAGCAATGTCATCAGAATGTTCTATTCTACAACATACCAAAGTTACATAGTAAAATTTTTCTAAATATCCATAAATTTGTGTTCATATAAAATCAAATCAAATAAAATATAAAAAATATCGACACGAGTGATGAAATTGAAATCTAAAGCAGGGAAACAATAACCTATCTCAAGACGAACTACTTTTCCAATTGACCCATCGAGCTAAATCGGCTCTACGATCTCTAAAACTCATTTTCTCTCTCTAAATTATCTCTCTCACTCTAATACAAAAAAGAAGAAAATGATGGAATTGGGTATTTATAGACTTATGTTTAGTTTGGGATGACTTTCTTATTGCTTCTTAAAATAGCTTTCTAGTAGAAATTTTTTATTTTTGTACTAAAAAATAGCTTTAAGAAGCAGTAAGAAAGTCATCCCAAATGAAGGCTTAGTGTCACAACACTGCAATGCTCCCAGAGAGAATTTCAAATAATCAAATAGTGACTTTGGCGGCCAAAGTCTCCATGGAGCGAGTTATGGAGCGTAGGTTGTGGCGTGATACTAATGTTTGATGGAGAATATAGAGAGAATAAGAAGGATCTACATAAGATTTTTATTGATTTAGAGAAAGCATATGATAAAGTTCCAAGAGAAGTGCTATGGAGAGTTTTTAAAAAGAAAAGAGTTAATAATGTTTATATTCAAATCATTAAAGATATGTATGCATGAACTATTACTTGTATTCAAACACAAGGTGGTTTGACCAAGTATTTTCCTATTTTGGTTAGATTACATTAAAGATCAGCCTTAAGCCCATATCTTTTTGCTTTAGTCATGGATGTTCTCACTAGACATTTGCAAGAGGATGTACCTTAGTTTATGCTTTTTGCTAATGATATTCTTCTTGTTGATGAGACTAGAGAGGGAGTTGAAGATAAACTTGAATTATGGAGGCCAACCTTCGAGTCTAAAGGTTTTCACTTGAGTATATCTAAAACTGAATATAAGGAGTGTAATTTTAGTAGCAATAGACCTAGTGAAGAGATTATGACTTTGGGCGATCAAGTCATTAATAAGATTACACGTTTTAGATATCTTGGATATATTGTACAGAGTGATGGTGAAATAGACACAGATATTATCAGTAGAATTCAAGTTGAATGGTTGAAGTGGAGGAATAAATCGGGCTTATTGTGTGATAGAAAAACCCCCCTCAAACTTAAGGGAAATTTCTATAAGATGGTGGCGAGACATGCAATGCTTTATGGTGCCGAATGTTGACCATTAAAAGAGAAGCATAATACTAAGTTAAGTGTTGCAGAGATGAGGATGCTTAGGTTGGATGAGTGGTTTTACCATTAGAGATAGGTTACAAAATGAGCATATACGTGAAAAGGTTGGAGTAGCTCCAGTGAAAGATAAGATTTAAGAGACTCGCCTTAGATGATTTGGTCACATTAAATGGAGGCCTTCTGATGATCTGGTTAGGAAATTTGAGGTATTAGATTTGACTTATGTTAAGAAAGGTAGAGGCAGACCTAAAAAGACTTGTGTTGTAGACTTTGGTTCCGCCGCACCCCCAACCAGCTTAGCCGTGCCTCGCTCTAGGCTCACAACGTCACAGCACCTCCAAACAAAAAATACAATGCCGTAGTGCTCTAAAGAAAAAATAAAATTAAAAAATAAACAAGATTTCTCCTAAATGCTAATTAAACATGTAAATTCTTATCTGGTCCAATCCAACTATCATAGTAGTATCATGATTCCAGAAACATTCATTACACATGTTCCACCGTATTTCTTAGGATCCTTCATAAATAATGCTGAAATTTATTCTTGAGGCGTGTTACGAAGATTTAGAGTTAAAGATTTATGCTCGGAGAAGGAAGACGATTCTCATACTATAGAAATTGTCAAGAAATTTATTATGCGAGATCATTAGATAGATTCAGGAGATGGCATATATATATATATATATATATATATAATTAATTAATTTTATCAAATAATAAATGAATAATGTACCTTAATTGATAATAAATCTAATTATCTTTAACTTAATTAATTTTTACTAATAAGAAAATTAAATAATCATTGTTAAAATTTATAATTTTAATATGTTGAGTAAATAACATTTATGATGGCCTTGTCGTCAGTTGCATATTTATAATTTATAATTTTTTATTAATTCAATATTCAAATAAATTAATATAATTCATATTTTAGTTTGATGGATTTTTAAAATATAAAAATTAAACCAGTCAATAATGAAAAAGTAATTAAGGTTAAAATTATAACAGTTAAACGAGCTGATACTTTAACAACTGGACTAAATTAATCAAATAAGACTAATTATATTTCATTTTTTTGACTTTATTCATTCCTTTGACTCCAATGAAAATCTTCATTTTGTTCTCTTTATTTCAAGAAGAAATTATTGTTAGTTTCAACTGCATGAAATAATTTCTGGTTTTGAGTTTCTGAAATCATTCTGAAATGATCAATTTATTATGAACAAGATTCAAATCTTCGTCTGGTTTGCAAGCATATTACTGTAACTGTTCAAACTCTCAACCATCAAGATATTCGCTTTTGGCCAAATTGCCTCACAGTTTTGTTTCATTGATGTAACTTCTCAAGAGGTGGATCCCAGAAATGCTCCTACATGAATATACTTAACTTTGAAGTTTAGAATGATAGTACAACAATTCCAACTATTACATCAAAAAATGTCTCGATATTTGAGAGTTTAACTTTATTTTCCTAAACATTTTCACAATTCTACACTAAATAGTGCTCTTGAGAATGGCCTTGCTACAGGCTTCAGCTTCATGAGAATGAAAAGCAAATTATAGTAATTATATTTTTTCATGGAGAATTACTCTGTAGACAATCTAGGATCACATTTTATTCAGTTTTTTTTTTCGCAAAATAAACATAATAACCAAAAGTCTAAAGCAGTAGTTGATGCGACATCTGAACATAATAAAGCTTATAATCCTTTATTAAAAAAAAATGCCGCATACAGGCTCAGAGGTATAAAATGACAGGATTTGCAAGCAATATATGCAGTTTCAGTAAATCCCTTTACAATACCAGTCAAGATTAACATGCGGGTTAGAGTTTCTCTGCAGTAAAAATGGTCTCCCCACTCATCTTATATGGCTCCTCCCCATTGACCAAGCTCCGAAATCTCGAACAATTGTCTGAAAGTAATGTAAGATTATCAGAAACACAGATTCCCCTTTCATTATCTCCCTGAAGAAAAGGTTATGAATCTTCTAGAGGAATTGCCTACCTTAGATTTAACTGAAGGAAAAACATTCCAGAACCGTAGAGTTTCATCTCCTGCACCAGTCACAATTGTCTGCAAGATTGGCAGTCAAAACTTGTCTTGAGTAATTTCTTTAATGAAAAAAATTTCAGCAGTGGCTAAGTTATATATGAACTGTACAAACCTGTCCATCAGGAGAAGTTGCTAGGTAGAGTACCCTCATTGTATGTCCAGTTAGAGTTGCAATCTGTTGAATTAAAATGAAGAAAATGAAGAAAATGAAGTTCAGTTTCTTTATCAGGTAACCATACCAGCTATTATGATTAGGCATCTTAAATATTGTCTACCATTGTCATTGCATTAAAATCATGACTCGTTGATTCTACCTTAAAACTCTTGGCCTTTATATTTGCCAACAACATTTAAATATTTCTTATAGGTACTTTATTCATTTTTATGGAAAATTTGTGGAACTACATAGCAAACCGGACACTTTTATTGAACTTCCTTTTGGTTTCATTATGCAGTTTTTTTACTAAGGGCATCTCCAACTGAAAATCTCATTTTTCACTCCAAAATACAATGTAACAAAAAAAAAAAATGGTGTGATTCGTCTCCAATTGAACTCCATTTTGCGCCCAGGTAATCGTCTTTCTCCTTCGCGCGTTTCTTCGACAAATCCGGTAGAGACAGAAAAATAACGCTGGTGAACAAATACCGGAAGTTTTGCCGTTCGACTGGAGCTCGCGAGCGACGCCATTCATGCGTTTGGAGTTCGGTTGGAGAAGGCCTAATGATGAATTAGATTGAAAAACAGAATTATACCTTTGACATTGAAGGATACTTCCACAACATAATTTGATTCTGAGAATAGCCATGTGTGCTGACTAATTCATTCACATTCTTTGACCATGCAAGACTACAAACCTGCAAGATCTCCACCCTTTGAAGTTACTTTACAAAGCAGAAAACTTTCATCATCTACAGACCTGCATGATCATACCTGACTACCAGTATCAACACATTTCAGCATATTACTTTTACTCGTGTTCCAGAAACGAATAGATCGATCGGCTGTCCCACCCCCTGAAGCAAGAAGACCCTGCTGATGTGGTGACCAAGCTATGGCTTTTACTGCTGCCGTGTGCTCTGAGAATTTTAGTACTGGTTGCTGAGATCGCTGGTTCCATATTAGAAGCTGATGCATCATTTAAGCATCTATGAGCAAGCAAGAGAGGCAAGAAAAGCATATGAACACATAAAAAAAGATGCCTACATTGCACCAACCTGATTGTCATTTCCACCTGATGCCAGCTCTCTATCATCATGAGACCATTTAAGCCCACAGACCTTATGAAAATAAGTAATTTAAGTAAATATATAAATCAATAATTTACACATTCACTTTCAGTGATATATCTAAGGGTTGGTTACCTCCGATCGGTGGCCGGAAAGCTTGTTAATGAAGTCGTTTGGCATTCGGAGGTCATGCTGCACTATATTCTTATCCCTACTTCCAGAAGCCAAAATGCAAGAACTCCATGCCAATACTCCTGTTCTTGTTTGATGACCTCCCATTGTCCTGATCTTTTTAGATCGAGTTCCATCCCAAATCTAAGTTACATATAACTTGTATCAAATTTTAGCTTCCAAATTTTCTTTATGAATTGAAATCTCTAATTGTGATGTTTGCTTGTTTCCACAGTCATGCAAATCTCATATTTTCAATCCAAACACTTTTTTTTCGAAAAATGGTAAGATTTTCTCAAGTCAGAATGCTTAAAAGTTAAACTTATATAGTTTAGAACGTGTGATTTGCCTTGATTATACACAAGTAAACATCTAAACTGAAAAAGAGATATGGATGTATCCTACACACAGCTGGATTTTAAGAAAATCTTAAGTGAATAGTTAGTTGCAAGAAAAGCAAATCACCTGAATATCTCCAAGACTTGTTCCGATTGCAAGATATGATCCCTCTCGAGTCCATTGGACAGAACAAACACCGTCTCTATTTCCTAGATCACACAGTTTTGTCACCTGGATTCATGTACAGATAAACTACATTAAAAATCAATCATAACATGTACATTTAGTTGCTAATTTCCAATCAAATTATTCAAAGACACTTCTTTTGGATAAACTCTATTATCAACATTTGCAATGTTAGAAAGACAGATAAATAGAAAAGTTCCTGCGATTTGAGGTCGGATAAGAGCAATGAGATGTCGAACCTTGCTCGATGATGCATTCCAGAGGTAAACACAAGTACCCAATCCAACTGCGAGAACATTCTGTGACGACCAGTCCACAAGGTTCAGGTAAAAATCATCTTGAAGTGAGGGAGCATCCAAGACCTGCAGTTTATAAATCGTAAGGAAAATTTTACCATTTTTGTGCTAAAACATATTACAGAAAGGAAAACCCTAATCAAGCAGAAAGTCGATGTGCAGAAGAGGTTTTGTTCTTCGAAATTTTGAGACAAACACCAATATGTTCTGGAGCTAAGACAGAATGATTTTCCTGAATTCAATCAAGCTAGAAATTATTTCAGATATTTCTTAAATTTCATACTCATTTCCTATCAAAGAAATTCCAGAGTTTATATTTTGAAATTTCTTTTAAATTCAAACACCAATAAGAAATTTCGAAACTCCAAATTAGGATTTTACTGCAGAACAAATTACTTTTTTTTTTTTTTGGTTTTTGGGTAAGAAGCATTTCTCCGGGGCTAAGATTTTTTTGGTTTTTGGGTAAGAAGCATTTCTCCGGAGCTAAGACTACCTTATGTGGAGCCTTGGATACTTTTCTTGGCGGCTTTGGAGGCGTGGAGCACTCAGGCCCTCCATCTTGGCCGGTGACAATGCCGGACAACGGCGAGCTTGGCGAGGAGTGGTCGACCTTAAACCGGAACATGTTCTTGTTAGGGGTTTGCGGTGATCCCTGCTCGCCGCCCGCCGGAGACAAGGGAAACGTCTCCGTACCGAAGAGCTCGGCTCTCAGTAGCCGCAAATATAGATCGTTAGTTCCCTCCTTCGCCGGCGAGGACTTCTCCACCACTGTGAAGGTTTCTAGCCTCGAAGATGACCGGCAAGGAATAAATCGGTCACCGTATATTACCTTCTTCGGCGACGGTGACTTTGGCATAACCGGAAAATGGGTTAGCGACGTATCGAGCCGCATAGACGATTCCAGGCCAGCCGGCAAGTTCAGGCGGCTCTTCTTTGGATCCATTTTCGATAGCTTCCCTCTCACCCTGGACGAAGATGCTTTTTCGGCGAGAGAGAAAGAGAGAGAGCACAACGGTCACCGTGGAATAATGGGAATGTGAGAAGGAACCTTTACCGTCTGCGCTCAACTAGCCGTTGGACCTGACTACTTGAAATTTTTAGGTTTAAACGTACAAGAAAGTGCAGATATATATATAAATATATAATGTATTTAAAATATTCAATTATACAAATTTTCATGCAGATTCACCTTCATTATTTCTAATACTTACATGATGCATTTATAGATTCTTTATATTTATTTGTTTATGAAGAACATGTTAAATGGTTATTGTAATCTTTACAAATAAAATAAGTAAATAAATCTAGTCAAGATATTTTATTTCATTTGAAGAGAAGATAAGCTTTAAAGAAATAAGATTCTCTTGAGGACATAGAAAATCTTGAAAAAGCATGCCAATCATTACAATTTCTTTCATGGTAGAATCTCAACTGCATGCTTATATCAACAATATTAATAAATTAGTACATTAGAAATCTTATAGTTATAGCTAGATGATGAAACTAGCACACATAACAATTATTGATATGTCCTCCAAAAATTATCTTGATCGGGCACGAATCTCGATGCAAAATCAAGCTGGAAACTTCAAAAATTAAATCCAGGATCATCTGAGCTACGAATCCAACAAACTTATAGTCGAACTGAGCGTCTCGAAAATACAAACCCAACGACACCAAATTCAACTCAATCCGAGCCCAAATGAGTCCAAATTAAGGACTCGAAGCACTATTGGAATCTTCGTACCACAGTTTGAGTTACCAAATGGTTTCCAAACTTGACGAGCTTATAGTCAAATCGAGCGCCTCGACGAGACGAATCCAACGATCCCAAGATCGCTAAATTCTGACATCATTAAGGTCTTCAAATGTCTAACGAACGGTACACGATTAAGGGATTCAATATCGGCCGTTCATCCAACCACTCTTGCCTATTTATGGGCCATGCCACTCCAGAAAATCTATAAATAGACCCCTCGTTTCTCTTGAAAAAGGAGAGAAGCAAGAAGAGAAGAAGAGAAGGAAGAAGCTCCTCCTTGACCATCGCCGGAGTTTCGCCGGACCACCGCCGAAACTTCGCATGACCACCACTTGAGGCCCTCACCTCCGCTGGACCACCGCCTGACGCCGTTGCTCTGCCAAACCACCACTTGAGGCCCTCAACTCCGCCGCTTGAGGCCCTCGCCTTCCTCGACCACCGACGGGCTTCCACCGGACCACCACTTGAGGCTCTCACCTCCGTCGGACCACCGCCAGACGTCGTTGTTCCGCCGGACCACCACTTGAGGCCCTCACCTCCACCGGACCACCGCCTGACGCTGTTGTTCTTCCGGACCACCACTTGAGGCCCTGACCTCCGCCAAACCACTGCTTGACGCCGTTGCTCCGCCGGACCACCACTTGAGGCCCTAACCTCCATTGGACCACCGCCTAACGCCGTTGCTCCGCCGGACCACCACTTGAGGTCCTCACCTCTACCAGACCACCACCTGATGACGTTGCTCCGCTGGACCACCGCCTAACGCCTTTGCTCCGCCGAACCACCGCCTAACGCCGTTGCTCCGCCGGACCACCACCTGAGGCCCGGACTTCCACCTAACCATCGCTTGAGGCCTTGTGCTTCACCAGACCAACACCTAAGGCTCGGACTTCCATCGAACCGCCACTTGAGGCCTTGTGCTTCACCAGTCCACCACCTAAGGCTCGGACTTCTGCCAAACTGCCAGTTGAGGCCCTGTGCTCCACCAGGACACCACCTGAGGCCAGGATATCTATTGGGCCGCCACCTGACACCCAAAGTTCTACCAGAGTACCGCCCGTCTACAACGATCTTTCTGACCCTGATCTCCTGCCGACTATGGTCCTTCTGACCTCCGTCGCGTAATATGGTCATTCTGACCTCCATCAACAGACAATGATCTTTCTGACCCCGGTCTCCTTCCAACTATGATTCTTCCGACCTATGTCGCCTACTATGGTCCTTCCGACCTCCATCAATAGACAATGGTCTTTCTGACCCTGATCTTCTGCCGACTATGGTCCTTCCGACCTCCATCAACAGATAACAGTCTTTTTGACCCCGGTCACCAGTCGACTACGGTCCTTCTGACCTTCGTCACCTACTATGGTTCTTCCGACCTCCATCAACAAACAACGGTCTTTCTGACCCCGATCTCCTGCCGACTACGGTCCTTCTGATCTCTGTCACCTACTATGGTCCTTTCGACCTCCATCAACAGACAACGGTCTTTCTGACCCCGGTCTTCTGCCGATTATGATTCTTCTGACCTCCTTCGCCTACTATGGTTCTTCCGACCTTCTTCGCCTACTATGGTCTTTCCGACCTCCATCACCAAACAACAATCTTTCTAATCTCCATCCTGTCGACTATGGTCGTACCGACAAAATAAACACATATATTGTAATTACCACCATGTAATGCACTCTATATGATGTATATTTATGACATCAAGCCAAGGCCTTCTCCCAAATAAAGGCCTCATTTGTAATCGACTATAAATACTAGTGGATTCATTCAAAATGGGCCATGCCCCATGGTTTTTCCCCCTTTTTAGGGGTTTCCACGTAATGCTCTGGTGTCTGGTGTCCCTTATGAACGCTACACCCTCTCTCTTATCTACTTGTGTGCTGGATCTTCGTATAATGCTAAGACGTTAAACTATATATTTCTCTACCGCCGCGAATACTCCAGGATGCAACAATCATAATTATTAAATTTAAGTTTTGTTTGCGGCAGCTTTCTTACTGTTTTTTAAAGCAACTTTTTAGTACAAAAATTTCTAGTTCAAAATTTTTTTGTACTAAAAAATCAATTTAAAAAGAAGTAAGAAAGTTATCATAAACAAAATCTTAATGAAGATAACTACTAATCATGCACAATCTGTTGTTGGCACTATGGCAATTTTAATTTGAAATAATTTAATTAATGATGCTTTCTCTCTTGAGAAGAGGTTATTATAAATATCATTGGTCAAAACTCTTGGAGGCAACATCTACTTCTATCAACTATGAGAACATCCAACATCATCCATGCATATGGATATTCTATTCTAGAGTTGTTCTTACATGGTTATTACGCTTGTATTGAGAGATGAGATAGATCTCTTAGTAAACTTTACATTAATTTTAATTGACTGAGGCTAAGCTCCAATCTTATTCATATGATATTTGTGATTTTTTCCCCTTTTTTGAATTTTTTTATAAAAAATGTTGATAATTTTATGAATTTCTCTTAATGTTTGTGTGCATAATTTTCATACAAAGTTAATATAATAAATTTTATCTACCATCACCAAAATTCTATCACATAATAAGTTGTTAAAATATAAATTGAATTATTGATTGCAAATTTGACATTATTTTCTTAGATTTTGATTATTACTTTGATGTTTTTATTTTTTCATAATGGTAAAATTAAAAAATTATATTATATTTCAATTTTCAAATATTAAATTAAAAAAAATAGGTAAACTATAAATAAATTAGTGACAAAAAGCCCAATATGCATGTTAATATTCTACAAATCAAAATCATAAATTTCAACAAAAATTATTTGATAATATTCTCCACATGCTAACTAAACTAAAAAGAATTAATTTAACATTAAAAAAATACATTTAGATCCATTCAAAATAAAATCAAACTAACCAAGTTAAAATTTGATTCAAATAGTTCGATCAATTTAATTTTCTAAACTTTAAATTCAAAATTAATTGATTTAATATATTTATACATCAAATTAATCAAATACACATCCTTATTCTTAATTAGCTTTTGATCATTTTGGTTGCCTTAGGGGATGTTTAGTTGAATTACATAAGGGTGTAAAATATTCCAAATGCAGGGGTTTTGAAAATCTTGTTGTTTGGTTGGAAGAAAAAGTAATGTAAAGTAAAACAAAGTTAATGTACTATAAACCATTCTAGTTCATTTTTTAGGTAAACCAAAATTGTATAGTTTTGAGCAAGAACGATTTAATTACACCTCAAGCAAGCTCGCTTGACCACCGCCGACCATCTGTTTTATGATTAAAAAATATCATTTAAGTATATATAGTCTTAAAAAATATTTAATTATCTTTGGGAATATTAAATTTTAAATTTTAAAATTGAACGCGTCATTATAAATAATATATCGTCTCGAAAGGCGATCATATCGTTCCCTAATGGGTTCAAATTTCAGAATTATAATCTAAATTATCGTAATCAAACTCAAAGAGAGAATTACATTCGACCTCGGAAGGTCAAAATGAAAGGATAAAGGATCATTAATTTCATAATCGAAATCACGATAATAATTGATATATCTCTCCAAAGAAAGAAGATATCAATTATCATGGGTCGTTCGAAAATGACGATAATGATCGTCGGGTTTGATTTTCCCAAAGAAAATTAATTAGAGATTTTGAAAAATTATAGGTTTTGAATAATTTCTGGGTTTCTAAATCTCCTACGAGCGCAAGCCCTCGTAGTTAATTACATCGTAGAAAATCGGAATTTCCTACGAAAACTCTCGATTAAAATAGCGGCGTAAATTTTATTTAAGAATTTTCAAAGTTTGACATCAAAGGAAGAAAAGGGTAGGAATTTCAAGTGGTATTGGTTCAAGTTTGAACAGTTATTTTCAGAGTCAAAGAAAGAGGAGTAGGGAGTGTTTTGAGATTCTGAATTACTTCAGAAACACCCCAGCCTATCCTAAATGTTGGGCTTAAATTTGATTGAAAGTGATTTAATGTTTAAGTGATCAATTTTATTATAAATTTAGGATTCAATTCCCGGAGGTTGAGGTCTTATAGCCCGAGCTAGCCTTAGAACCTAAGTCTAAATTGGGTACTTAAAAGTGACCCGAACCTAGCTAGTGCAATGCATATCTGGACTTACCCCGGCCTGGATTGGGGTGCCATCTAAACCACCTAGGTGCTTT